GTGTCTGAGGTAAAAAAATAAATGTACTCTGATGCAGGGGGCTTATTGAGCAACTGTTTCTATGCTGGTCACTTGCACGGATGGGAAGTTGTGGCTGGACATTACAAATTAGAATTAAAAATAAGCAGAAAGAATGAAAAGAGAAAACATGGGAAATTTAACCTTTCTTTCCCCAAATTTGGGAGAAAAAAAAATCTCTGATAACATATCACAATTTATCTTTCTCCATTAAGAACAGAGGTAAAATCAAAATACAAAATAAACCTTTCATGGAGTTATCGTTTGGTGTTACGTGTTTTAGGACTATTGTGAGGAAGCACGAGAACATCCATGGAAGCATCGGTGGATGTGACGGAAAGACCATGTGGTGGATTTGTAGGGAAAGTGATTTGTCTCTACTGAGACATAGGAACAATAATAATTATAAAGAATTGTGAGAAGAGTATTTGAGAACAAATTTATAGCTGACAGAAGTGCCCAAAAGCCATCTAAACGACATACTAAGAGACACAATAGGATATTTTTTCATGGGACAGTTTTGAGAAAAGAGTATTATCGCCTTCCAATTATGGCTTCATGTCTCTTTTCCCCAAAGGCACGTGTACTTGAAACCCTTCCTGGCCCCTGTAAGAGAAGATTCTATGGTACTGACGAGATTGTGTGTATTAGAATCACTTCTCCTGGAAAGGAGACACTAAAGGGTACTCGAATAAAATATTAAAAATTATGAAGGACATAAGAAAGGCCAATCAGTCCTTTCTTTTCCCCAGATCCCATAATATGAGAACAAGGGTTATTTGATGAAATTAAAGAGTAGCAAATTAAGTGCTAATAAAATGAGATAGTCACTTATATAATTCATTACCATGGGAGGTCACAGAGGCAAATTCTGTGGCTGGATTAAATATGGGGCTGGATAATTTTATGACCGCTAATGATATTTTTAACAGTAGAGGCTGATACTGCAAGAGAAGTAATCCTATTACATCCTCCAGGAGGTGGTTCTTGGGGACCTCTGGCAAGTGGTGTCTGAGAAGTGTGAGAGCCAGCCTGGTGGGTTCTAACCTTTGATGGGGAGTTGTACTAAAAATTAGTTTTTAAGGTGGATGCCCTCAGGTTTTCCGCTTGTGCTTGAGTCCCAGCTTCTCCTGTGGAGATCCGTAAGTTCTTTAATCAGAAGCATTGGGGTGCGAAGTTCCATCATTCAAGGTGAATAAGTTCCAGAGATATAATGTACAGCACCGTGACTATTGTTTTGTTTCTTAAAAGATCTTATTAGAGAGCGAGTGAAAGTGAGCCCGGGGAGGAGCAGAGGGAGAGGGACAAGCAGACTCTGTGCTGAGCGTGGAACCTAACTCATGACCTTGAGATCATCACTTGAGCTGAAATCAAGAGTTGGACACTCAACCGACTGAGCCATCCAGGCCCCCCCAGTGTGACTGTTTTTAACAATACTGTATTGTATGGTTGAAATCTGCTGAGAGAGTAGACTTTAAATGTTCTCAACCCACTCAAAAAAGGAAAAAAAAAAGTGGATAATGGGTGAAGTGGTAGATATGTTAATTAGCTTGATTGTGGTGATTATTTCATCCACCATACAGATGTATACCTTTTTTTTTTCTTTTTTTTGAGAGAGAGAGGGAGCACAAGCAGGGGGAATAGCAGAGGGAGAGGGAGAAGCAGACTTCCCGCTGAGCAGGAAGCCTTATGCAGGGCTTAGTCCCAGGCCCTGGGGTCCTGACCTGACTAGGTCAGGGCAGGCAGATGCTTAACAAGCTGTGCCACCCAGACCTCCCCTCAAGACGTATATCTTGAACATATATAGTTTGTCAGTTATACCTCAGTAATACTAGGGTGATGGAAGTAAACACAACAAAATTTTTTTTTAGAGAAAGCAGTTGGGAAGATATTACCCAGAATTTGATCGTTTCTGGTCTTGAGGACCCATTTATTTTATTTATTGAATGCCACCCACAAGTCGGGCACTTTGCTTAGAGTTTTAAAAATCTGTTGGGACTCTAAACACTTTGACCAATCAGTGCATTCAGAATAAGGGGACTACACTAAAGGTAGACTATAAAGTTGAATTAAGTACAACAAAACAAAGGAATAGCTCAACCTGTATGATTCAGAAAAAGTTTACAGAGAAGGTGGCATTTGAATTAAGTCTTAAAGGGTGGTGGGAGTTCACTCTATTGGCAGGATAACAAAGGGCAGAAGGAACGACCAGCACACATAGATCCAGGACAGAATGTGACATAATTGCCCGTGAACTCCTGGTAGATTAGAAAGGCTGCAGCACAGGCTTGGAGGGGCAGAGAGGGAGAAGAGGGTTCCTATCAGGTCAAAGGGAGCCAGGTGGTGAGGTCTTGCGATTGCCAGAGATGTCTCTCCAGTAGCCGCGCTTCCTGTGGTGGTCGTGTGGGTGGGGAGTAGAGAGGAGGTGGAGAGGGGCTTCCAGAAAGGGTCATGTGATGGATCAAAGACGGCCCCTCAGAGCCCTGGCCCCCTGCAGCATAGGCTTCCCTCTCTTGGCCACTGTCAACAGTTGCTTGGTGGTGAGTCTTATATTTCACACGACTCTGCCTCATTGATTTTTACTGTCTGTCTGAAATGATCTTTACCATAAACCTAATCACTCTTATTAGTAGTTTTTTATAAAAGAAAAAGAACAAAATTTCCCCTTTCCTTGAGAGAAGGGTTCTTATAGGTCTTATAAATTAGGTTCTTATAGGTCTTATAAATTAGAGGGGTTCTTATAGGTCTTATAAATTTCTTTGGGCTTTACCTAGAACCCATCTTTGGATGGGGAAGAAGATGCAGATATCGTTTGCTTGACCTTAGACTGTGATGTTGGCTCAGCAGATGAGCAGGAAACCATACAGTGTCTTGGAGGAGCAGATGGACTGAAATGTTAAATATCTGTTTTGTTGGGGCGCCTGGGTGGCTCAGTGGGTTAAAGCCTCTGCCTTTGGCTCAGGTCATGATCCCAGGGTCCTGGGATCGAGCCCTGCATCAGGCTTTCTGCTCAGCGGGGAGTCTGCTTCCCCCTCTCTCTCTGCCTGCCTCTCTGCCTAATTGTGATCTCTGTCAAATAAATAAAAATAAAATCTTTAAAAGAAAATCTGTTTTGTTAAATGATTTCGGATAACAAAATAATTAGGGAAAAAAAAAGCTCCCAGACTCTGCTCCTTATTCAGTGATACTTAAATAAGTGTATCATTATTAATCACTCAGACTCTGACTTGGAATTTCTACAATATTAATATTGATAAGAAGAGTCATTTGGAAATCAGAGAGAATGTCTTTGTAGAAACATGGTCTTATTTTTGTGGTGGATGCAAATACTGTATTATTATTATGATTATTATTTGTGTTGTTACATAGTGCAGTAGGCAGTCAGCAGTTCCCCCCCATATTAGAGAGGAATGTGTACGGTGGTCCCCTGTTATCTGTGGGGAATGTTTCCAAGAGGACTCCCAGGGGTTGTCTGAGACTTTGGACAGTGCTGGACCCTACATACGTACTATGTTTTTTCCTATTCATACACACCGATGATAAATCTTAATTCATAAATGGGGCACATGAGAGATTAACAACAGTAACTAATAATAAACTAGAACAGCTGTAACAATATGGTATAATAAAAGTTACACGAATGTGATCTCTCTCGGAACACTTGATCGTATTGCCGTCACCTTTCTTGTGGTGAGGCGTGATGATAAAATTCCTGTCTTATGAGAGGAAAGGAGGTGAATGACGTAGGCATTGTGACGCAGTGTTAGGCTGCTATTGACCTTCTGATACCCCAGAAGGAGGAGCATCCCTTGTTGGACTGCACCTGACCCCAGGTAACCGAAACCGTGGAAAGCAACATCGTGGATAACTGGGGCCTATTCCTCTTCCACAGTAGTTCTTTAAGGCTCTTCTAAAAAGAAGGTGCTAGAGGGATATAAAAATGAAGTTAGTTATAGGAGGTAAATGGCTAGGTGCTCAGTTTACTGTGAAGTCACCTATGTGGTAGAGCGTTGGGGGATAAAACTGAATTACAATGGAGATACACCCTGTGTTTGGTGTTAGTCACTCACAGATAAGATCATGACTCACAATATAGTGAGGACAGGAGACCATTCTACCACGACTCCTTGATGAACTAAATCCAAGTTGTGTAGTACACCTGTATCCAGATGTTAGCTCTATCTGGGGAGCTGGCAGTGTTTTTCACGAAAGCTAAGGGCTGCTTTAAAATAGAAATTACAGTTAACTCAGAGAGATGGAGGGTAGGATCAGGGTAGGGAAGAGCATTTCAAAACAGAAGGAATAGAGATAACTCCTAGAATTTTGAACACCTTGTTTTTTTTTTTTCCCCTTTTTTCTAACTTCTGTCAATGTTGTAACTTCTTCTTCTTCATTTTTTTTTTCCCAAAAATTTTATTGGGGGAAAACTACAAAACATTTACAGTACAGTGTTTACAGTCACAATTTGTAGTGAACTGATTCCCCAAAATACATTACAACTCAAGTTGAAATGTTGTAACTTCTAATACATTCTGAAAATGTCCCTTTTGAGGAAAGAATGGGCTACATCATACTCGCTTCTAGTAGATATAAATCTTGTCAGTAAGGGGGATAGTGATCAAGGATTCCTTTAAGCCCCAACATTAATTCACTTAAGTATTTATTAATCATTTGTTCTCCTGGACTGGACACTTACAAATAAGTCTTCGCTGTCAGAAGTGAGGCACGCAGCACAGGTAACATAACATTTTCTTCCCATTCGACATAGCTATGTATGCTTCTGGTTCCCAGCGTACTACTCGGTTTTACACGAAGAGGGCCTTTCTATGACTGGGTTTCTTTCAACAAGGTTCTTTATTTGTAATTGTGCAAAAAAGCAGCATAAGCTTTAAAAAAGAGCTTTGATGCAAAATGATGTATCTTTTCAAGGACCGTGTATAGGTGAATATATTTATTAAGAAGTGTTTTTCTTTCCCGTTTAGACCTTAGCTGGATCTCCAAAGTGCAGGTGAATCAACCCGCCGTTCTGAGGCGCGCAGAACAAATCCAGGCTCGCAGAACCGTGAAGAAGGAGTGGCAGGTAAGGTTGCTTCTTGAGCACTCTGCCCCGGTAGTGTACAATGCCTGGTCTCTTCCCTCAAGGCCACAATATTGAATTTCGCTCGAGATGCATCTAAACTTAAAAGATTGCAGCTGTCCATGACTTATTTTAATAATTCATATGTGATGATGATGGGTTGGAGAAAGATAACACATTTATCCAAACAGGTTAAAAATCTTATCACTCTTGAGTGGCAAAGCCGCAAATGAGTTTGAGGCATCTTTATTCATGAGTGAATTAAATGGCACATTTCCTCAACACATTTATTCAGCTCCTTAGACATACCTTCTTTGGTTGTCTTCTATTTTAATTTTTAAGTCGTAACATTGAAACCTGATGGGTCTGCTGTTGAGGCCCTTAAGCATAAGCGTTGACCTTCTTTGACCATTGTGTTTACCTTACTATTAATTTTCATAAAGCATTTTCCAAAACTCGAAAAGTGATGTTTCATAGGGACTAGTGGTCAGCATACCCTTCAGTGTATACTGACCAACGGTGAGCTGTGCGTCATAGGACTAAGAGGGATTCAGAGTTCATGTCACAAGTGAAGCAAAATAGTGTGATTGAGTCCTTTAGGATGACATTTTACATTTTGCTCATCCTTGGGAATATTCCAATGGAAAGATAAAAGGAAATTCATTAGAATGAGTTAGGAAGTATGAGTATTATTTTAGAAATGGAATTGAATTAGAGTGAAAAACAACATCAAAGAAATTAGAGACTCTTTTTTAAATGTCTTATCCCAGATCCCAAGGCTGGAGGTAAAATATCAGACAGAAACCCCCTTCTTCCCAAGTTCTGTCATATGGTAGCTTTCAGGGGCTCCTAGTGGAGGAGATGGAGAGGTCTGGTGTGGGAAGGTTTAATCTATTAGGATTTCACTTTGGGATACCAATGGAAGGCAAAAAATTTTTTTAAAGATTTTATTTATTTGAGAGAGAGAGAGTGTGCACGTGCATGGGGGAGGGGCAGAGGGCAAGAGAGAATCTCAAGCAGAATCCCTCCTGAGCCAGAGCCCAGCTCAGGGCTCAGTCTCACAACCCTGAGATCATGACCTGAGCTGAAATCAAGAGTGGGATGCTTAACTGACTGAGCCACCCGGGCACCCGGGAAAAATAATTTTTAAGGCTACTCTGTAATCATCTTTTATTTTATTCTATGCAGTGTTCCTCTTGTTGGTCACTCTTGGGCAATGTTTATATCACATATGAGAAGGACATGCCTTAGAATAGTATAGATGTCAGATTTTAGCACCCATGTTTGCCTAATGATTTCCTACTAAGTAACTGGGTTGGAGATGATTTTTTTTTTTTTTTTTTCAATCTTGTTTTTACTTTTCTTAAACCAGGCTGCTTGGCTCCTGAAAGCTGTTACCTTTATAGATCTTACTACACTTGCAGGCGATGACACATCTTCCAACGTTCAAAGGCTCTGTTATAAAGCCAAGTATCCAATCCGGGAAGATCTCCTAAAAACTTTAAACATGCATGATAAAGGTAACATTGCTGTGTATAATCTGTCTCTGTTTACCTCTTTACAGTACTAATTACTAAATCTAAGAGGATTTAAGACAAGATTCAGCTGCTAAAATGATAACAGCAATAAAATCCACGGGAGAATTGTATACATAGGCAAATAATTGAGATTCTTCTCTGAAAAACAGCAGGGAAAGAATCTGAGTCTCATTTTTAGGTCAGTTCTTTCCATCCTGGATTAAAGTTGCTGGTAGAGAGTTTCTTTATTTTTCTTTCCAGTTCTTCAGTGTGGGAAATTTTCTGTCTAGTGACTCTAAAATACTGATTCTCATTCCCTAGCCACACGTGCAAAAGCCAGTCTCATTACTTAATAATCACATCTCATACATAAAGTATTTTCTGTGAGTAAATGAAATACTTTTGAGAATAAAATGCAAATGGGGAATATTGCATGCTCGTATATTAGGTTAGATCTTTTGAAAAAAAGTTATTTTCACTCTCTTAGTATACATGAAAGAAAGGACTTTCTAAAGTTGTCATAAGTTTAGAATCTTAACATCTTAGGAATGGAGGAGACCTTTGAGAGTTGATCCCCTTTTTCTAAATGAGGAAACCAAGGTCTGGAAGGCTAAAGGGTATTTCCAAGACCATGTGCATAGTACTCACTGGGCTGATTTTAGGAGCCATGTCTTTTGGCGGAGGGATGCTTCATGATTCCAAAGTGCCTATCGGTAATAAATACGCAACTGGAAATGTGGCATTGGCCCAATGCAGGTATTTTATCCCAAATAATTTGAAGATAATTTATAGACCTAAACAACTCCACTGCTTTTGGAAAATAGGTGTCTTTGGGGTTGACAATAAAAACACCACCTGCGTATAAGCATTGTTATACAAAATTGTTTCAAGTAACAACTTTGGAGGAGAGGCTGGGGAAAAATGGGGCAACTGTGTAGGAGTCTATGTTCTTGCTTTGTTTTATAGTGGCTGTTTGATTTTTATTTGATTTCTTTAAATTTAAGAGCTTATTCCTCTGAATGAGGGCTCCAGATCCAGATTGTATTATTACTTGCAAGAGAGGGAAGAGGATTAGTTAAATGTCATTTTGCTATACTACCCTGTCAGGTTCTCATCCACTTTCTTCATCCACTGTCTGTTAGCTGTACAAATCTGGATTATGTGACCTACATGAAATAAAATATTCTCATTGAGTCAAGCCCATTATGTTCACTGCTTAGGAATCTTTAAAAAGTGACATTATGTTGACCTCAAAGACCGGTGCCCCACAATTATTTTATTCTGTGACTTGAACAAGGAGCAAATGATCCCTGTTGTCAAGGACTGGAAAGGAACGTGGGGGAGTCAAAACTTTTTCATTCGGTGCAGTGTCTTAGGGGAGTTATTTCTCCTCTCATTTTGAGTTCTGCCAGGGTGTGGTGTAAATCATGAAAAGCCTGTTGTGCAAGTTGAACTTCCCATGAAGCAGGCTGTTATGATCTCTTTTCTCCCAGGCCTCACGACCGCGGCCGTTTGTGTTTATCCCGCGAGGGTGTGTGATGCGGTTAAAGCGCTGAAGGCCGCAGGCTGTACCATCCCCGTGGCTTCAGGTAAGATTATTGTGGCTTTTGCTCTTGTCTCGCAGCCTGTTTCCAGTTTTCATCTCAGACACCTGAGGGTTTTTTTTTTTTTAAAGATTTTATTTATTTATTTGACACACAGAAAGATCACAAGGAGGCAGAGAGGCAGGCAGAGAGAGAAGGGGAAGCAGGCTCCCCGCTGAGCAGAGAGCCCAATTGGGGCTCCATCCCAGGACCCTGAGATCACAACCTGAGCTGAATGAAGGCAGAGGCTTAACCCACTGAGCCACCCAGGCGCCCCCTGAGGGTTTTGTATACAGTTTTATACTATGATTTTAATTAGCTTTATATATTTAATTATTTCTATTTACTCATTCTCTCCATATCTACTTGCCTCCTAAGTAGCAGACCACATTCATTCCCCAGAATACAGAACCGTGTCCCTGCCCTTATGGAAACTTGGTTGTTTAGGAGGAATAAGCAAGTTGAAAACGTCATAATGCAGGATATGTAGTAGTATATATGTGTAAAAGATGATAATAAAGACGCACAGAAGGTACAGTTGTAACTCGGAGTGGAGAGTGATTTATTTTGTGGAAGTTGGTGATGCTCAGAGAGTTACAGTATTCACAGGGGAGATGATACTGTGTTGGAGGGTCTTAGAGGGAAAGGGGAGTTGGCGGTATTGCTGAGACAGGGAATGACCTTTTAAACAGAAGAACTAGCCTGTGGGAAGGCACAGAAGCACGTTCAGGGAACCGAACCACAAGTGGTTTGTCATTGTCAGATCTAAATTGGGATGAAGTTGGCATGGGGGGTGCCCTGGGAGTTGAAGCTAGAGATGGTAGATCTGGGCCAGATCACATAGGGGAAAATGGCCCGGTGAGGGCATTCAGGGTCTATGCTGGTGTTGGGGAACATACTGCAAGGTTTTCAGCAGAGACATGTCATGATCAGCTGCATGATCTTGTGAGTTGGGGGGGTGGTTGTGGGTCCAGTAGAGTGGGGTGACAGGGAGTTAGGGAGACTTAACCACAGTCCACGTGAGAGGTGAGGAGTGCCACCCTAAAACCTGGGAGTTTAGTAAAGACAAGAGGGTATGTTCAGGAGTCATTCACTTGAGATAGACTCAGGAGGACTGGACTGGGCATGAAAGAAGAGTATTTAAAGCTTCTGTATAAGTGAGGTTGTAGAGTGTGTGTGAGTGTGAGTGTGAGTGAGTGTGTGTGTGTGTGTGTGTGTGTGTGGAGGGATAGATATAAAACTAGATTGTACTTTTAGAAGATGTTAAGAGGAATATCTTGGTGCTTTAGAAGAGGAGTCTAAAAAGATGATTATTTTATTAGGGAGACATCAAAGAAACACAAAGTTTTGATATACAAGCTATTTGTGAAGATTCCGAAAGTGTTCGGCAGCTACCTTAAATTTTTCATCAGCCTCATTCAGTTCAGCTTTTCTTTTGCACAACAGAGAAACATCTTTCCTCTAAGATAGCAGACCCAAGGAATTTAATAACATCAAGGAAATACAAAAGGTTATCTTTAGTAATGGAAATGGAATTAATGATGCACATGGAAAAAATGTTAATGATTTTTCAGAAGTATAGCTGTATTTTTTTTTTTTTTTAATTTATACCTGGTCTTGTTCTTCCCTACTTGCCCCTGCCCCAGTTTTGTGGACAATATTAGGTCCTTTTCCCTCCTGCAGTCTCCTCCCTTTATTCTCATCTGCTTGGCTCTTTATTTTAAGATAGGCAATGAGAAGAACCTATATGGCAATTTGGTTGCAACAGCCATAAATGTGAGTGAGTAAATCAAGACTACAGTGGTAACCAATTTGATTAAGAGCAGAATTTGTAATTAACCAGTCCATCAAGACAGGGCTCTAGCTACTGTGTTTTATGACTGTCACTATGATGATACATATTTTCTTAGTTTTGTTTACTTAAAGCCCTCTTATGAGCATCTCTGCAGAAACTTAATTTCAGGTTTTCAAACTATAAAATACTAATATTTGTCCTAACACCAATACCATATTAGGTGACATTCTGTTTCTTCACACTTCACTTTGTAAGACAGGCATGAAGCTCTTTAGTGTCATTAATGCTTTGGTCAAAATACTGTTTTGTTTTTGTTTTCATTTTTGTTTTTTTTTGTATGAGGTTCCTTATTGAGATACTCAATGACTGAAATTTGTCTTCCTCCTTCCCTCCCTCCCTCCTTTTCTTCTTTCCTTCCCTCCTTTCTTCTCTCTCTGCTAGTGGCCACTGGCTTTCCAGCTGGACAGACTCGTTTAAAAACACGATTAGAAGAGATCAGATTGGCTGTGGAAGATGGAGCTATGGAAATCGATGTGGTGATTAATAGGACATTGGTGCTGACAGGCCAGTGGGAAGGTATGTGCAAGTCGTTACCTAAAAGGGGGACATAGTGCTACCTGTGGGAATCAATGGTGAGGACTGGAAAAGAGGCAGCATGTTTTGGAAGTCATTGTTCTAGGTTACATGTCACCAGATCAGAGGGTAAATTTGAGAGAAAATGTGGCTGGTATTGATCATGGCTTGTTCCCCTCATCAATCCTTGGCAGTTGCCCACATGCGTGAACTTTTTAGATCCCTTCGAGTGCTTAGGTGAGTGGCTATTTCTATGCACTAGATTATTAATTTTTCTGTTCTCTACTATTTTATCACTCAATGCATAAATCACTCTAGGCAAGTCATTTATGCAAAGTTTATTTTAATAGGTGGAGGAAACTTCCCCTTTTTAATGTTAATCTTTGTGGATTTTGAGAATGTGGGATTAGTAATAAGTCTGCTAAGTCTATTTTTACTCCTGCTGTTCTTACACATAATTCCTATGGATACTATTTTATGTTTACTTTTGAGATTCATGATTTACTATCACACCGATTATGATAAAACATTACCCATTTCAATAACTAGCTATTGTTTTTATAATTAGATATTAAAAAATAGATTTGACTGGTGCCTTAAGTATATTTTGTATATTAGAGATTGTTGATAGCTAAAATAATTACAATTTTCTACTTTACAAAATCAGTATAAAAGTGGTTCAACTAAAAATTTTTTAATCAAATCATAAGATAAAGCCAGAATAATATGTTACCTCTTTAGATATGTGAATATCAAATATATGGTATATTTTATTCTAATTACAGATGTTGTACCTGCTTGCTGTTAAAAACAAAAATTCTAATCTGTAATAAAGGAAATAGATGCCCCACATAAACTCATCCGCTAGAAATAACCTCAATAACAGTATAATGCACAACTTTTCAGACTTTTTTCTCTTCATATATACACATGCAACTGATGCCCTTTTTTAAAAGTTTAAATAAAAAGTAAGATTATGCTTAATGTATTTTTTTCTTAATCTATTTATTGCACTTGCCAATATTTCATGGGTATCTTTCTGTGACTCTCATTCATCAATCCATCTAGATTGTCAAATGTGAATCCTAATTCCATTGTTTATCCATTAAGAATTGCTTTTGGTTACAGAATAGCAACGATTTAGTCAGTAGTTTATTTATTTATTTATTTATTTAGTCAGTAGTTTAAACCTCAAGGATTTATGTTCTTCTACAAAGTCTGGAGGTAGATATTTCAGGGGTACTTCCGCAGCCCCACAAAGTCCTTGGTCACTTACACTACTTGGATCTTCCACTCCCAAAGTGTGGCTTCTATCCCTGTACTTAAGGGCACTCCATTGTCTGAGGTCGCTTCTGATGCTCCAGCCCTTCCAGCCATCTCCCAAATAACAGGAAAGAAGGGCTGTCCTATCCTAAAAGCCTCCCACAGTATTTTTGCTTCCATCTCTTTTGCTCAGACTAAGTTACGTGGCTACCGTGGCTGCAAGTAAGGCCAGAAAATGTAGTTTTTTAGCTTAGAATATTAACTATGTTCCTGTACATTCTCAGTAAGTTAGATGGTGCACATATTTGTGCCCAGGTGGAAAGGACTGAGGGGAGTTCTAGCATGGAAGGACAGTGTGCCATAAAGAGCCAAGTGGGGTCTGACAGTAAAAACCTTAATAGCAAAGGGCTTTGTGAAACCACAATAACAGAAATATTTAAATGAGAAGAGCTAAGAAGTCAGAAGGCACAGCTGTTAGCTGTGGGTCAGGTCACCCCAGAGATTTCAGCAGCTCCGAGAGCATCACGATCACCGATACCACAGTTCTGAGTGATCTAGAAGGAAATGTTGAAGCCGTTCCTGTTGCCCCACTCCCAACTGTACTCAGTAGCATTTTTAATCCTTACCCAGTTTAAATTCTTGACAGTCCACAAATATCTTTTTGTGCTTTTGATTTTTGTTCCCTTTTTTTTATGGTTCATGTGAGCTTTGGCTGATTGCAATCATTCTTAAAAGGCATATTTTAAATGGGTACCCTTTATCCCTATATATTGATTCTTGTTTCCTTCTAGTCATAGATTTCAGGCCAGAATTAGAGGGAAAAAATGAATTTGCATAATATTGAAAACAAATTTGGAAATAGACTATGTGATTTAGTTAAATTAAAAAAAACTATATCCCCTGTATGTCTTTTATTAAACAGTTGTAGACATAGAAGTATAGTTTCTATTATAACTTGTGCTCTTGTCTCTAGAATACTAATTGGGAAGTAAAATATAATAGGAGATGGGTTTTGATGTAATTGTCCCTTAATGAACTAGGAATGGTTGTTTTTAGGAACTGATAATTTCCTAATAACAGGCATTCATGCAAAATATAATAACACATCTTTGTCCTAGACCATACTTTTCTATTAACTTTTTTATCGTGTTAATAACCTCTTGACCCAAAACAAATTGAAAAGGAACATTTAATACTAGAAATTTAATTCTAAATGGAAACCTGCAATGACTGAAGCCTTTTTTTTCACTGCAGTATTTTTCTTAATTTGCCTCAATTTGATTATATATTATATTTTTCAGTGTCATGCTTTCATATTAGCTGTTTACTAAAATATGAGCCTAAAATTGATTTCTTGGAATGTGCAGACAGAAATGTCTCAGGCTAATACATGTTCAAATGCAGGTCCCTCTCATCTGTGCACTGAGGAGTGTAGGACAGTGGCTGAAGCATGAAAGAAAGGATTCCAGTTTTAAAGCTGACCATTCAGAGTGTATCCTAACCATGTCTTGTGGTCGCAGGGTCCACAGTTTCAGGGATGAACTCAGAGAGAAGACTGGAAGAGGGGCTTGTACTCCTCTTCTTGAATTCTCCCTGGTGACAATTTGAAATCTCTACTCCTCGAGCTTCTAATTCTTCTGCCCACCCACTTTGAGGCTCCTTTCCTCTTAGTGGAAGACGGAGCTGCAACTTCTCAGAGAAAACTGATACCACTAGAGAGGAACTCCCTTAGGGTCCTTACAGCAGGCTCTGTTTTCCTTTGTTTCTTCTTTTCTCCTTCCTCCTAAGTCTGGTCCCTTTGCGGCAGCTCCCATCTCCTCCCACATTTCCGGAGACCTTACTCCATTTGTTGGCCATTTTTTTTCTGCTGTGTCTTTAGTTTCTGTCTCTACTAGCTCATTCCCATCAGCATCTAAACATATAAGCTCTTCTTATCCATTAAACACACGCACACACACACACACACACACACACACACACAAACTCACATGCCAACATTCCCCCTCATCCCCAGCTAAGTCTCCCTTTCTGTTCTTTCCTTCATGGCTAAAGTTCTTAAAAGACTCATATTTACTTGTTTCTCCTGAATCTGCACAAACCAGGATGCTAACGACCTCTTATTTTTCTGTGCCCAGGGAATATTCTTCATTTGTTTGTCTAGCTTTACCATTCAGCATTTGGCACAGTGCACTGTCTTCCTTCTAGAGATACTCTCCTGTCGTGACGTTGGTGACCCTAAATTTTCAGGTTTTCCTCCATGTTTCTCATTACTCCTGTATCCCTTTGTCTTGTTTGCACTCTACTCTGCCTCCCCCAACATCCTGGAGGTGTTGGTTGTCCTTAGGTCCTGTCCCAGCAAACTCTCAAACTTCTGCTCAGACTCTGCATATTCTCCCTTGGAAATGTTCTGTCTTCACCGATTTCAGCCACACCGTGTGCTAACGACTACAAAACCTCCTGAGCACCAGAACCAACATCCACCAGACTCCGGAATGTGTGCTCTGTTTCCCTGCTAGACCATGTTGCTTTTTCATGCATCATTTTATAATTTCTTTAAAAGATTTTATTTATTTATTTGAGAAAGCGAGCACAAGCAGTGGGGAGGAGGAGAAGGAGAGGGAGAAGCAGGCTCCCCACTGAGCCTGGAACCCGAGCCAATGCAGGGCTGGGTCCCAGCTTATGACCTGAGCTGGAAAGCAGTTGCTTAACCGACTGAGCCACCCATGTGCCCCTCATGCATCATTTTTACATACATAGACCAGTGACTCTTGATCAAATCAGAGAATCTAGCCATTTTAGAAGGAAATCTATTAAAAACATATTTGACTGGGGCTCCTGGGTGGCTCAGTGAGTTAAAGCCTCTGCCTTCGGCTGAGGTCATGATCTCAGGGTCCTGGGATTGAGCCCCACATAGGGCTCTCTGCTCAACAGGGAGCCTGCTTCCTCCTCTCTCTCTCTCTGCCTGCCTCTCTGCCTACTTGTGATCTCTCTCTCTGTCAAATAAATAAATAAAAATTTTTAAAAAATTTAAAAAAATATTTGACCTGAACACTTTCTCTTAAATACAGTTTAATTTCAGAACCGTGGTATCAGCGACGGCATTATCCTGGAGCACAGTAATGCTCCCCAGGCTGTGGAAATCTCCAAGATGACCCGCCCCCGGCTAACAGTTCAGGCCGCTGTGCCTTTTGACTTCACATGCCTTTTTATTTAAACATTTTTGTTAGTGTTGTTTTGCCTGGCGCTTTACTATTAAGCTTTTTACCACCAGATCCTGATTTGCTCATTATGGCACACTGTCTTTCCCTGCCTGTACTTCCCTACGTCTTTTCTATTCAGGCACAGGAATGTACACCATTACTAGAAGGGAGCATAACTCTGGGAGACTAGAGGGCTGAAAGCACATCTTTGCATCAGACACACCTTGGTTGGAATCCAGGTGCTACCATTAGTAGCTGTTTTCTCTTAGGCAAGTTACTTCTCTTTGTCTTCTGTTCCTTCTCCTCAAAATAAGAATAATGGCATCCACTTCCCCGGGTTATAAAGGGGATTCAATTAGATAATGTATGTAAATCGGTCATCCTGTTGCTTGGCCCAGATGAATCCCTCCATGCCCGCTGCGGTTTCTTCTCTTTCCCTCTTCTCCTTCTGGTGCGATAGTCTGTTGTCAAGGGAAGTAACCATAATAGTACATGTATTGAGTAAATGAAGTAGAACTCTAAAAGACTTGGATTTTAGTC